CTTAGGCTCAAACCCCAAATAGTTCAGAAACTTCACACTCTAAACATAGACCTCTAGGCCTGGTATAGTGGCTCGGGCCTATAATCCTAGCACTCTGGGAGGCAAACTTGAGCTCAGGAGTTCAAGACCAACCCAGAGTGAGACTCTGTCTCAAAAAAAAAAAAAAACAAAAAAAAAAACAAAGAAAAACTTTACATTTAGTGAGTACCTGTTAGGTGGGACTAGATCCTGTGGGATTCTCTGGTTGGCCTTGGGAGTGTGACCTTTCCTCTGCATAGGTGTCCCGAAGACCACCTGTTGTCTGGTTGTGTACACATCTCTGTGTAGTGTGTTTGGCTTAATGCTGTGTCAAATACTTATCCAGTGGATAAAGTGTTTGAAACACCTTTGAAACACATGGAGAAGAAAGGTGTGTTTTATTATTCTGTTTTGGTGGCCATAAATGATGAATTTATATTTCTGAAGAATAAGTCAGTTTGTACTATCCTGATGCCACAAACTATTAGTCCAAATATCAGAAATCTGTCTTTAAGTTCAAAGTGTTATAGTCCTTTACATTTGAGTGACCCTCAAATGGTCAACCTATTGTGCTTTAGGATGTTAACTTTGTGCACATGTGCTCCAAACAGCTCTTAATATTTTTTGTTACAATATTTATTCCCCCAATAGGTCATAGGCTTCTGCTATTGATTTTTTTTTTTTTGGTGGCTGTATCTACATACCAGTGCCCTTTTTGTTCTCAAAGTGAATGGTAGAAAAACTCAGATTGCCGTAATTTTTCATCTAGTCTGAAGGTGCCCAGGAGGGAGGCAATATTATATTCTTTCAGCCAGTGATAATCCAGTGGCTGCCATGTGCATAATTTTTTTTTTTTTTTGCTCTATGCGGAATACAAAGGGGAGAATTACGTGTCACCATCTCTTCTACTGCTTAAAATCTCCATGAAATTCTGGCATGCATAGAGGATAATGAAATAATATAAGGGGTGAGAATAACATGTGATGTCGCTACAGAGCTACTGACTGAGCAGATAGAGACTGGAGTCCTGGGGCCACAGGGAGGAGTGGCTGCTGTGGGTGAGGACCGTGGGAAACTTGGTGGTCAGCAGGCTCTGAGGGTTGGGTGGTTCCCAGGAGCAGAGGGTCATCTGGCCACGCACTGTGCAGAGGAGAAACGTCTTCAGGTGTGCTGAGGTGATTATCCTTGTGGAGGTGACAGAGGATTTGTGGACAGAAATAGCAGGTGATTAGTTTGGAAACTAGTCTGGGCCAGGTTGTTGATGGTGTTCGTGCTGGCCGGGGATGGCTTTGATGGGGAAGGTTTTTAAGCTGGGGAGTGGCATGGTGGGGGAGCAAGCCTGGAAGATGTTGTTAGGTTGGGGTGGGTAGAGGCCAGAGACCGGGCAACACCTGGGAGCTGGTGCTGTTCAGGCTCGAAGTGCCAAGGACCTGCCTTGATTGGGTTTGGTGGGAAAGGGAAGGGTAGATTTAGCTGAAAGACACTGTAAAAGCAGAGTCCATAGAACTGGATTGGTTGATGGCAGAGATGGAGCTGGCTGAGGGTGGGTTGTGGTCCACACCCTGGACTGCATGTGGAGCCGAACATGGAAATGGTGGTCCCCTGGAGGGGGATAGATATAGTTTATATTTCACGGAGTTTTTCTAATTTTCATCAATTTTATCACACACAGAAAGGTGATCTTTGAGGATTTTTTTATTTTTGAAGGCAGAGTCTCACTCTGTTGCTCAGGCTGGACTATAGCTGTGCCATCATAGCTCACCACAGCCTCGTACTCCAAGGCCTAAGCAATTCTCCTGCCTCAGCCACCCGAACAGCTAGGACTACAGGCCATACCACAGTACTGGGCTAGTGATCTTGGAGTTTTTATTTCTATTTTTGACTTCTTTTCTGAGCTTCCACCTAGCCCTCTTTTTCTTATACTAGTTTACTTCACTGTCCCCCAGTCACTTCTAACTCCTAGTCAAACTCCTATCAGCCCAGTTGAGTATCATGTTGTGAATTGTGGAATCCTCAACATGCTTCTCCATGGGTGGCAATGGGAACAGGCGCATACAACAGAGGTCTGCAATGAGAGGCCCAGGAGGCTGGTGCTTTATTAGAGAAGGGCAACAGTGACTGGCAGCACAGAACAGATGACGGAGGGACACAGACTCCTCTGAAGGACTTGGAATATTCCATTTTGGGGTCACAGCCTGCAGTCTTGGGTCGTGGGCGTATATGGTCTTCTGGACCCTTAAGTGCAGTCTTTTGACTGGATAAAAATTTTACACAACAAATCCTTTTCATAAAGGACTGTGCATCTGGCTTCTTTCATTCAGCATAGTATTTCTGAATCGTGTGCTGTAGGTATTTTCCTTAGTGGTCCACTGTATGAATAGCCCACATTTTAACTTTTGCGTTCCTCTGTTGGTGATTATTTGGGTTGTTTGCAGTTTGGGGCCATTATGTATAGAGCTGCTATGAAATCTCATGGATGTTTTCATTTATTTTAAATTGTTGGACATAGAATTATTGGGTTATAAGATAAAATTATGTTTAACTTTATAAGAAAGTACCCAGTTGTTTTCCAGAGTGACTCATTGATTTGTCCACTTGCTCTGTGTGTTTGCCAGTGTTTGATATCGTCATTCTTTTTAATTTTAGTCGTTCCAATGGATAGGTTATGGTATTTCACTGTGGTTTTCATATGCATTTCCCCAGTGACTAATGATGGTGAGCATTTTCATATGCTTATTGATCATTTGAATTCTTTTTTTTTTTTAACTGTAAAATAAGTTTCTTGGTGATAACATGTCACTTATTCTTGATACTTGATGTCACAATCTTTAGGGTCTTTGAGAGACACAGGATCCTTATGTGTAACTGGCATAAACCCCATTATTTGAGCTCTTTTAATCACTTTTGTGATTTCTTTCTGTTTATTTCCACAAAGACCTGTTATGTGCCTTTCATAAATGCATCCAGTAAATGGAGAAATAAACTGGGACAAAAGCTGTGCATTCCTATCTATACGTTTTCCACACAAGATACATTTCTTAAGAGTCTCCTTCTAAGGATTTTCCATCGCAGCAGGCATGTCTTCATTGCTGGTTACCTGTTTATACTGTGAACAACCTCTGCTCCACAGCACTAAGTGACTGCTAGGATGCGTGAAACAGATGGAAGCCGTTACCAAGCTTGTCAACTTTTTCCTCCCTAGAATACTGCAAACCATAGCTGCCACGATTCCCCTTTCCTCCTCCCATCATTTGAACTCTTGTATGAATTATCTTTTAAAACCTTTGTCCAATTTTAAATCTTTATTTTGAGATAATTGTATATTAACATGCAGTTATAAGAAATACTTCAGAGAAAAGGTCTTGGGTACCCTTTACTTGGTTTCCCCCTCTTGTAAAGCTGTGGCATAATATTATGCCAGGGTATTGACGTTTATATAAGCTATGGACAGACCTTTGCATCCTACACTTGCCTGTCTCCCTCCTGCTTGCTTTGGACTTATTTTGCTCTTCTCTTTCTAGTTTATTCAGCTACAAACTTATGTTATTGATTTGAGACTTTACTCTTTTCTCTTCTTTTCTTTTCTCTTTTTTTTTTTTTAGAGACAGGATTGTGCTCTGTCAACTCAGGCTGGAGTTCAGGGCACAATCATAGTTGAAGCTCGTGGGCTCAAGTATCCCTCTTGCCTCAGTCTACTGAGTAGCTAGGACAATTGGCATGCACCACCACACCTTATTTTTTGTAGAGATGGGGTCTTGGTATGTTGCCCCCTGTGGTCTTGAACTCTTGGCCTCTTAGGGTGCCCATTTTCTCTTTTCTAACTTAGAAAAGTTTCCCACTGTGTACTGCCTTAGCTGCATCTTGGTTACAATGAGGTGTTGTCCTTCATTTTCATTCAGTTCTCTGTATTTATTTATTTATTTTGATTTTTTATTGTTTGGGATTCACCGAGGGTACAGAGAATTAGGTAACACTGATTGCATTTGTTAGATAAAGTCCCTCTTTTTTGGGGCGGGGGGCTGTGGCTCTGTTTGAACCTGCCACCTCTGGTATATGGGGCTGGTGCCCTGTTCCTTTGAGCCACAGGTACCACCCAAGTCCCTCTTTTTTTTTTTTTTTTTTTTTTTTTTTTTTTGAGACAAAGTCTCAAGCTGTTGCCCTGGGTAGAGTGCTATGGTGTCATAGCTCACAGCAACCTCCAACTCTTAGGCTTAAGCAATCCTCTTGCCTCAGTTTTTCTATTTTTAGTAGAGATGGGGGTCTCACGCTTGCTCAGGCTGGTCTTGAACTGGGAGCCCAAGCAATCCACCTGCCTTGGCCTCCCAGAGTGCTAGGATTACCGATGTGAGCCACTGTGCCTGGAAAAGTCCCTCTTATTGTGTCCTGCCCCCCAAGAGGTGTGCCATATTGTGACCCCCATCCCTCTCTCTTCTCCCCTCTCCCCACTTGTTCATTCCCCTAACCCCCCAACCCCTGGTATTAGCTCATCTATTGCCTTCATGTTATAATAGAGTACATTGGATTCTTGCTTCTCCATTCTTCTAATGCTTTACTAAGAAGAATGTGTTCCAACTCAATCTTGATACAAAAGATGTAAAATCGCCATCTTTTTTAGTGGCTGAATAGAATTTCATGGTATACATATACCACAGCTGGTTAATCCATTTCTGGGTTGGTGGGCATGTAGGCTGTTTCCACATTTTGGCAGTTGTAAATTGAGCTGCAATAAACAGTCTAGTGCAAATGTCCTTATACTAAAGGGATTTTTTTTTTTTTTTCTGGGCAGATGCCTAGTAATGGGATTGCAGGATCAAATGGAAGGTCTAATTTGAGTTCTTTAAGGATTCTCCATACTTCCCGAAAGGTTGTATTACTTTGCATTCCCACCAGCAGTGTGAAAGTGTTCCCTTCTCTCCACATCCACACCAGCATCTGCAACTTTGAGACTTTGCGATGTGATTCTTGCTGGGATTAGGCGAGATCTCAGGGTAGTTTTGATTTGCATTTCTTCATATGTTCGTTAGCTATTTGTCTTCTTTAGAGAAGGTTCTGTTCATATCTCTTGCCCCGTGATTTATGGGATTGTTTGGGCTTTTTCTGTTGATTGATTTGAGTTCTTTATGGATCCTCGTTATCAAGTTGTTGTCCAGTTCATAATATGTAAATACCTTTCCCCATTCTGAGCTTGTCTGTTTGCTTT